TCCCACAAGCAGTGGAATCTAGTGCCCACTCTGACCTTACACTTGAGACAGTTTGGAGATGTTCCCATATTATACTTACTATAAATATACGGAGAAATATACACATTGTGCAGACTTTTGTACTGCAGTTCTTTAAATCGGTTACAAACAGAGATTTTAGATGGAAGGACCAGGATTTTGTCCCATGCCTGTATATCTATTTCACATTTCAGCAGCGTCCCCCAAGATTTTCTCAACCATGCCAGTTTATCCACAATTAGGGCATAAATCTCAGAATAAAACTTTGATACAAAATGTTTATGCTCCCTATTATCCAGAAAAAATTTCTCCAACCGAAAAGAGGCAGTTGAGATTTGTAATGATTTAGCATTTTTTAACACATAATTTCTCAATTGCAAATACTTATAAAACTCAGTCTTTGACATAGAATACTGGGATTCTATGTCTTGTCTTCAAATAATTTAAACTCACCATGTTTAAAGAGGTCATAAAACCTCTTTACACCTACTTTATGCCATCCCACAAAGCTTGACCCTATGTTTTGCGGCAGAAGGTCTGGATTATTTATAAACGTTGACAAGATATTAAACGGAAGACTACTGTTAAAAAATTTTCTCAGTTTTCCCCACGTCCACATAGCATTATATATCAGTGGGTTATGCTTTATTACATGAGGTAAGTCATTTAGACTTTAGATTTTTGGGACTTTTAATGTTGTTTTTTGTTTTTTACTGAGGTGAACCGAGGATAAGCCAGTAGCTGTGGAACCTTTGGTGGTGGGTTGTTTCCACACTACTTTTGTTGTACAGCACCTTGGGTCCAAAGTTGGTTGGTTGGTGTGTCTGTGGGATTTTTCTTTCTCATGGTCCTCAGCTTCTGGTATATCCAGGTTGTTTTATCTTTGATCAATGGTTGCTAATCAATGATACATCCAGATTAACAGAGTCACCTTTATGGGACTTACTGAATCTTGTCTTTTCTTCAGATGAGCCAGGGCCACTGCTGTCAAAGGATGATTTTTATCTCTATCTGCAGGAATTCATATTTAGTGGCATTGCTCTGATCTGGGTCCTTCCCTTCCACATGCATACAAGGGAAGTGTAAGGCAAGGACAGCAGCAGCAAGACCCCAGCACAGAGCACAACAGGCAACATTGAAAACAAATATAGTGATGATTGAGTCAGACACAGCATCAAAGGGGGAGGAGCTAGGGTAGAGGTGGGTTGCAATGCAGCTTGCAGATGCACAGCAAACACAGTCAGGCTGAAGCGGCTTAAATAGTGTGACCTCTTTTTGACGCATAGAAGAATAATCAAGCCATCAACTGATGTGGGCTGACACTGAGACCAGTTGATCTTCCTGGATTACACCATACTTGACTTCATGATCTACCAGAATTCACTCGTCCCGTCCGCTGTCATGCCGTACTATAAAATGTCAGCTGTGTGTTTGCCAGAATCACTGGACTCTGATCTGGACGGCTGCCATTCATTCAACTGTTTTATTAGCGTACACATAAAACAAACACACACAAGCAAGCAGCGCCACCACGTCAGGACTGACATCTGCTCTCAGACCCACTTTATGGTTGCAGTGTATACTATGCATGTGTGAAACTAAGAGCTCGCTTCCATATTTGTACCATATGTTTTTATTTGTATATTGGCATCTTTGTGTACATGTCAGTTGGTGTCAGTGATTAATGAGCGTAATCCACTTCCTTATTTCTATAATAAGAAAAGAAAACATGATAACATCATATAAATTTCTCCCCTGTACCTGAGCCATTCAGCTCCCTAAATAAACTAAGAAATGCATAAACTAGCTACAGAGAGGACGGTGAAAGGTTTTTATGCACACCAAATAAATACAATACATTTGAATATGATGTAACTATGAAAATATTGAAAGCTATTTGAATGTAGGCTGTACTTGGACCAAACGTATTAGTCTGTACTGGGTGTCTGGTGTATTGTTTTTCCTGTTCACTTTCTAAATTTGTGTTATTGCGCTAATCTTTACTAATCATTTTAAAGGTAAATGCCCAGTTAATGTCCTAAATAATGACTGAACAATGAAATTTCTGGATTTCACGGCAATCTGCTTCAGACTTGTTGAAGTGTCTTAGGTGGGAAAAGTGGTGGACTGGCCAACCAAAGTGCCATTCTTTAATTTACCTGATTATATAATGTAAATATTAAACTGATCTATTAATATGATTTCTGACTCGCTTCTCTGACACACCTAGGTACTGTAGTTCACTGATAACCGCCAATCTGACCCACTGCATGACTCAGATACAGCATTATATGGCGCTTCCGTGTCTGCCCTTTGAAAACACTCATCGATACAATTCTTCGCTCACTTATTGTATGCTTAAAACATTCAAACAGCCACTGTGGGATCAATACTAGGATTTGCACACAACACACACACAGTTACTGCTCAGGTGGTCCAGGTTTGCTTCCCGAGTTTTCCCTCAGTTCACAGCTTCAGCCTGTGACAGGGACATCACTGTCTCACTCTGATAACATGGAGCAGCTTAATGTTTAGCCCAAGACCCATGCACATGCACACACACACACACACACACACACACTAGAGAGCTAAGAGATTACAAAGGCACAGAGACCCATATGCCGACAAGCAATGGAGACGAGTAAACTCAATCTGAGGCGAATGCGAGGTAACGATCAAGGTGAGTTATAACTGCTAATAGCATTTTAAAATGTGTAATGACTGAAGAAGAAAAAACTTGAGGTGGTGCTACCTGCCACTGCATCTTTATTTCTTCTGCACTAAGTGAAGAAGCAAAGTGATGGAGTTCAATTCTGTACAGATGGTAAATTATTACTGATTGTATTGACTGGGAAAAATAATTGACCGTGAAAGTCGCCTAGCTGATATTTATAGCAAAGTGAAAACTTGTTGAAGTCAGTCTAAGCCTTTAATTTGCTAAGTAGGGCTATTAGCCTGTTAATCCACACGAGAGGCTGTCAGCTGTGCTGCGTGGCCTGAGAATGAGCGAGTGAATTCATTTTGAACTTGTAATAATGTAAAGAACAAAATTCAACAAACTTTTCTTTCTCTTAAAATTTTATGATTTTTTTTTTTATCTGGACAGGAAAATGCTGGCAAGACAGATTAATGTTAAACACGCTGTTTAATATAGTAATAGACTTAACAGCCTTCGACACCCGTTCAAGAAATTATGAAAACAGGATTTATTGCTCAGACTTTACAATTTCATGAAAGAGAGCGTTGAATAATGTAATTAAAAGGAAGGGAAATGTCTTTAAAACAGACTTTTATCCGTAAATAATCTGATTACTTTTCAGAGCAGGAAGCTATTTCCATCTATGGTTGAAGTAATTTATCGTTTCATTTTTTTCTGATTTTGATCATCTTACTTTACATCCATGAAAAACAAAAGAGTGAGAGACATAACCCATAATCCAGAGACATTATGAGAAAAAAACGTGGCACAGAATAGTTTGTTGAAATCAGTAAACTTCTTAAGTTTGGCTTTTAATAGTTGTATTAACATTTACAAATGTAAATCATCTCGATAAAATTTATAATACAAAAGCTTGAACCTTCCACAAAAAATGAGAAAATAGGAAGTGAAAACTAAACTATAGTCTTTGAACTTTGGTTAATTAAGGCTAGCTGTTACCCTCAGCTAACGTTAATATTTTGTAAATATTGTTTTCTGATGTTTACTTCGACATATTTTACATTTAATTTGTTTCACAACCTAAATATTAATTTTCAGTGATATTTCTGACCAGGCAGCATCTTCCTTTAAAACCTCATTTCAGTCCATGTAGCACATACGTGTGTGTGTGTGTGTGTGTGTGTGTGTGTGTGTGTGTGTGTGTACATATATATTCGTATTTGTACGTGTAAATGCAAGTATGTGTACGTGTACATAGTGGTTTGCTCTATATGTCTGAAATAAAGATGCAATAACAATATATGTAATACTGTACATTCAACCTACAGGCTGACTGAACATTGTAGAACAGCTGGAGACGGGGGGGGGGAGTTAGTCTGACACAACCCAAAACTAACGTAAAGCAATTATTATTATTTTTATTCTGTACAAATTATTTCAAATAAAAACACTTTATGGCCAATTGGCTGTCAAAGTCATTCTTGTCTGTGCACAGTAAACATTAGAAGTGAACTGAATTTATTAGGCTGACAGGTAGACAGACAACTCTAAGAAAAGGGTGCCCCAGGCAAAGAAATAGTCTGACGGCTTTTTTAATATTTGAACTGTTGAACAAATGAAACAAATAGAAGTTCATACCTCTGACAGCACTAGTGCCAAATTCAATTAAATGTTTCTGTCAAATCACAACAACAGGCACCTCTAGTTACTTTGCATTATAACGTGAAACCCTGCAAAAACAGAGAGAAATCAGTTGAACAGTCTTACTGCTAAGCTGAGCTAAATATCTGGATGCCCTTAATATTTACAGCAAAGAAATGAGAGCACTCATCTAATTTATTCTCATCGTTTATTAGCCCAGGCTTAATCTGTTTACTCTAAACTATTAAAAATCTTTGAAAAGTTATTTAGAAAACTACACATATTAAATAGTTTAAGAAAAGACGAAAACGCCTCGTCTGGGGATCCTCAGCCCTTCCCATGAGGGTGGCACAGATGCCCCTCCGGTGGTCCTCCTTGGGCTCTCGCACTCTGGGGCCTCTGGATGTCTGGAGCCTGGATCTCCTCCATGCCTGCTTCATGCCCTGGGGGACGGGGCTATGGCTCACTACATCCTCTAGCAGACCATTACATGTGGAAACCATTTGAATACAAGCGCGCTGATCCACACAGGTGTGCACACGCGTGTTCACTGTTCGTAGACTTAAATGACACCTTTCTTGGCTGCTACTTCAAAGCACATTGTGCGCTGTCTGTCCTGCGTGCTGCACAACAACATTGAATATTTAGTATTTACTGCTGTTTACACTTAGCTAGATTAATGCGATGGTGTTGTGTTTAGTATGTTGCTTTGGGTTTTTTTGCTTGTTTTCTATTCTTTCTCTCTCAACAGGTGATCCAGGAGATTTTTTTCCCTTTCTCACTGTCCCTCTCCCCTTCTGTTTTTCTTTTCTTTCCTCTTTCTTTCTCCCTTTCCTATCCCTCACTCATGTCTGTCCCGTCTGTAACAACTGAAAATAAGAAGAAAAAACAAAAGACGAAAACATCCAGTAATTTCTGTCTCTTTTTGACAGGGATTGTTGAAAATGACTCCCCAGCAGAACCACATGGCAGCAGCCCCGCTCGACCTGTTTCTGCTCTTGTTCGTCTCTACGTGTATGCGCTGCATGGCTGCCTCTGCGAGGTGGCCTTCACTGCTGTGTGGGACTGGTGCAGCACCCAGGACAGGAGGCTGGCAGGCCACAGCAGTCTGTGGGCGCTGCCCATGTATGCCACAGCAATCTATCTCATGGAGAGGCTGAGGGCCCTGATGCTCGCTCAGAATCACCCACTGACTGTGCGGCTCGTGCTCTACACTGTTTTCATCTACCTGTGGGAGTTCAGCTGGGGTGTGGGGCTTAGTTTGTTGGGAGCCTGTCCATGGGACTACTCAGGCCATAGGTACAACCTGAGAGGACTGATAACTCTGGACTATGCACTTCCCTGGGCTGTGGCTGCATATATAGCAGAACAGCATGTGATCAGGCACACTTTAAGAATAAGACTGCATAACTGAACCGCTGTTGTGACGATCTGGACTCATGTGCTTCCAAAACACTTGATTAATTAATTTCATATTAATTATATTAAAAGTAACTATTCTGTTGTTTTTAGCAGTATAATAAACCTGACTGGGAAAGTACATTAAAGGAGTAGTCTTGATTTTGGAAAATAAGATAACAAAAAGTCTCTACACAAAGCCACAGATATGAATTAGCCTGGACACTTGGAAAAATAAAATATTACGAAGAAACAGCAGGTGTAGTTTTATAGTAAAGTGAATAAAAACAGAAAGAATGATCAACAATGAGCTTTGAACTATTGAGAAAGTGAAGCCAGCTTTCTTAAATCCTTTGATCTTTTCCCAAAGGATTATTCACACTAAGCTAAAAGAATCCAATCGCTTAATACAGTCAACACTCACCTTTTTATATCTTTGCTTTAAGAAGCAGTTTTACTTTAAATGTTTAGCCTCATTGAAAGTAGAAGAAACTCCAGCAATCTATTCTCTCAATGCAACATAAATGCTCTTCTCTTTGTAGCTTCAAGGCCAAATTCATGCACGTAAGCGTACAAGGAACTCTCCAATATTTCATCCTTTAAAAAGATTGTTTAAAACAGCTTGTACCGATTTGAATGAGGAAGTTAGTGTATGTATTTTTTTTTTTAAAAACCTGAACAATAACAGCACACGTGGTTCAGCACTTTTATGCACATTACACAAAGGCAAACATAGATTTACACTCTGTCTATGCAAGACAAGACACAAGCCTATTTAAGTCTCCACAGATAACGTGTCCTGCAAAGTAGTAGATGGGAGCAAAAATTAAACAAACAGTGAGAATAAAAAACAGGAAATGTCCACAAATGTAGCTAAATGCTGAAAAGTAAGTGTCAGACCAGAAACCAGTTGGTCAAACACACAAACACGTACCTTGCGTTGTGCGTTTAGCCCTGTACATTTGGCTGTGCTGTGATTGGTGCCTTCCTGGTAACATTTTTTGCTGGTGCACCTAAAGCAGTAAAATTCTGAATTCAAACAAGCTCAAATTTCAGCACTGGGATTAAATAAAATAGTAGACAAAACCTAATAAGTGGGCTTTAAATTATCTTCATATATGACAATAACATCATTAAGCTTACGCACTGCCACCCCCAAAGTATCTGGAACAATTCAAATCTTTATTGAAAGGCTCTTTCAGACTGTCGACCGAAGGCTAATTACACTGCTGATTTATAAAGTGTCACCAGTTCTTAAATGTCAGCTTTGTAAGAGACTACATGACAAATGTAGGTGGTTGAAAAGCAGAAGACAAGTACTCAACCAATCAGAAATGTCCAGCGCAGCAAGCTCCACACCCATAGTTCCCATTACTTATTAATACATATTGTCCCACCTAGCTGGAACGTTTTATTGCAGGGCAACGTTCCTGGATCTTAATTTATAGCTTACGCGTCCATGGGAAAAGTGTAGTGAAAACAATTCAGAAAATGTTCATTAAAAAAATATTTGTATTTGTTTTTTTAGTCTGGGTGCCATCGATAATTATGACTGGCATCTCACAGCCAAATATGCTTTGAACTCATTTACAGTCATTTGTGCATTACTGGGGGAAATCCCGTACTCCATTAAACAGTGGTGATTAAATAGGAACCTGGCAGTTGGCACCTAACAGCAGTGTCATCTGACAACAAGGCTGCGTTCCTGATACTCGTTGAAACTTGTGTTTTTAAGTCCTTTGAGCCACTGGGACTGAAGTTTATGAGTGACAGTCAGCTTGCAAGGAAAGCACATAATGTTATTTCTGTAGATATTTATTTATTTTTCTCTCAGCACTCACATACAATTACATCTGATGGGAGAGTACAGCTTTCACGTTCTTTAATCACTTTTATTGCAGGGTTTACATCCTTTAGTCTTTATGTGTTAGTCCATGAAATGCTTCTCAGTGAGCAGGACAGCGGTTTCTAATACAGATGTGACTTAGCTCATGCTTGGATTGAGGAGTATTTAATGACTGAGGGTATCGATTAATACAGCTACAAGTAAGAAAAGTAAAAAGAAAAGTATCCATAAATAATTTTTACATGAAGATTTACTCACTTTTCAGAGCAAGAAGTTATATTCATTTATGGTTGTAATACTTTAAAATGTAATTAATTTTCTCATTTTAATCATCCTCTGCTATCCGGGGGGAAGGAAACAAAAGAAAAGAGAGTGAGACAACACAAAAATCAGAGACATTTTAAGAAATGAAGGTGGTTGAAATCTATAGGAAAACCTCACAGCAGCAATGAGGGTAACAGAAGGAAAAGGCTTTGCTAAGGCTTTATTTTAGACCTAAAAACACTTGCTGTTGTGTCTTTCTTAATATCAAATTTTCCTTGTAAATTTCTCCATACTGTTTTGGTGACCAGGGAAATGGTATGACATAGAGGTTACTTATATTACAAATATATGTAAATTTTGGGGTGTGATGCTTAAATTAATTTGTTTTTACATCTATTTTTGTATAAAATAGGTTTTTCATGAACACAGCAATGTAATGCCTCACAGTACTAAATTGAGAAATCACATCATCATTATGTCTTCCTGCAATCTTCTACATGACGAGAGGAAAGAAAAATATGAAACATGGTTTTCTGTTTAGCCTGCAGTTGCGTTGCAGTTGCACTGGACGTAGCGCAGTAGCATTTACCATCAGTTGTGCAGTTTTACTAAGATGTGCAGGGAATAGACAGGGTGGAGCAGTCTACAACGGAGGAGTGGAAATACCAACATTACTTTTATTTTCATTGCATAAAAACACAAGAGGGTGATGGTAAAGTACAAATTGTGTCCAGGACAGAAACAGCCACACTGTACTGCTAACACAACATCAGGTCTTTGCAGACATCTACACAAACAACGTGCCAGCACAGAGCCAGCGGAGACACATCTTATTTATCACCATGTAACAAAGTGAGTGATGAGTAGTCGAGCTTAGAGCGCTGTAGCATTCATTTTAGAATCACAGTGGCAACACTTTGAAGTCTATGTGGTGCTTTTCCACTTTGTTTTGTGTTCAAATGTAACCTTAAAAGAAAAACTGCTCTTTTTAAGAAAAGGATTTATCTTATTATCTGGGACTGTAGCCGAAGGTTCATACTGGTAACTGGTAATTATGTCACAGTGTATTTCAGGACATGCTACTGAGCAACATGAAAGAAATATAAAAACAAAAAGCAGCATAACAAATTACTTTTTACTGGGAAGTAATCAAATTCATTTCTTTTAAGTAATTGTAAAACTAACACTAGATATGACCGTAATGTTATTAAACTGAATTAATTTGGTTACAAAAATCCAAACAAAGCATTGGGTTTGGCTCCGAAACCGTCAGCCTGCTGGTTGACGTGAACAGACGTGAACAGACAGCCTGCTAAGGAGTCAAATTCCTGTTAGCTCGCTGTATCAGTTCACCTCCATGCACCTCCACCTAAAAGGTTTTTGAAACAGCAGCAGGTTCTACATGTCAGTTTTGTAAGAAACTACGCAAAACATGTAGGTGGCTATGAAGCAGTTCGTTGGAAAAGTTCATCTGACAACAGTGTTATGTTCCCGATACCTGTTGAAACTTGTGTTTTTAAGTCATTAGAGCCACTAGAAATGCAGTTTATGAGTGACAGCCAACTTACAAGGAAAAGACAAATGCTCAGACATGAGGATGTTTTTATTTATGCATTTTACTCGCATAAAATTACATGTAGTGATTGATGAATGCGAGAATATAGCATCATTTTGTAATTGTTTATTAATACTGTTTACCCTTACTAAATGGTCTATGCTACTTACTGTATTTGTTTTATACATAAAACACTTTCAGTTGTTCGAGCTCATTTAAAGAATTCGTGCTCCCCTCCCAGCATATGTTTCAATGCAGGTGTGATTTGACGGTTGATGCTTAAGGTCTCTTCCTCTCTGGGTTTTGGATCACAACCAAGGCGACAGTCCCCTCAGCTCTCTGCCACTGGTATCTACGACAGAGAAAGTCACTGCATGTAAAACCACACTGGAAACCCTGGAGAGTTCACTTTCAACACTTTTGATCCAATAATTTGTACACTCAGTGAAAGAGTTTGTGATTTACTGACAACTTGATATTGACTTACTGGCTCTGCTCGGGAATGAGCAAACTGTCTCCTGCAGGAAGACTGAACTCCTGCTCGTTCATAGTCACTGTGGAAGATCCCTCCTAAGAAAGAGATGTAGAAGAGGAAGGGAGATTTACATGTGCGTCCAGGGACAGACTGTTGGGACAGACTCTGCATACATACCAACTGCCAAACCCACACATCAGTTTGGGGTGTTGTCCTCTCTGTGAGTCCAGGTCCGAACACCATCGCCTGTTGGGGAGGCAGTAAAAAGAGTCTTGTTTATCACTATCATTACCTACAACACGTCTAGTCTCCTGTTATTTCAACAATAATTATACCTTTGACTTGTACTTTTAGTATCAAAACATCCTTTCTGCCGGATAGACCGTACTATACAGTTGTGGTCAGAAGTTTACAGACACTCATCATGGGCATGTAACTTTGTCATAGTAATTTTGTTCCAGTAGTTTCCAGGTCAGGGTAGGCTTGTGCCTTTGTGGCCCCTGGATTGTCCCTGAAAGTCCGAGCCAATACCCTCTCATGTGAGGGAGACAATTTGTGTCTTCTTGTGGTGGCACACACATTAAACCTGTACTTACAAATATTTATTGAAGGTGTGATCTTGCAACCTACAGTTACTTAGTGCTTTCAAACAAATCTTGTTTATACTGGCAAAAAGAAACAACCATTGCCAGCAGTCAACCACGATCTCTGACAAGAAGCTGGTCTTCAAGGACACTGCAGAACCTTCAGGATTGCTTATTAAAAGAAATAAGTGAACGTGTGTTTATATTTGAGTGTGTTTGTACACGTTTGACCCTGCATGGATTTAAGAAACCAAAATTGTAACTATATATGAGTGCAGGCCTAAATGAAATGTTTTACTGAAAATGGCTGAAAAAAAACCCCTGATCAACCATCTCATATATGATCATTACCTGACACTAGGTTTCTTACCTCAGTCTCAAACTGAGCTCCGAACATGTCGA